TCGATGAACTATAATTCCAAAATCAATGAACTAAAATTCCATAATCTATGAACTAAAATTCCATAATGAATTATCAACATAATGCCGTTGCTGGGAATCAAACCTGATTTTTTTTTTAAAGGGGAGACGCGCATTTTTAATAAAACGACGTCGTTTTTGCATCCGTATGCACCACGCATGGTGCATACGGATGCACAGCATAACTACTCGTAAAATTATGCACTTAAAAATATTATTTGGGTCGAAATTATTTGAAAAATGACATTTTTCATCTTTGAGTTATGCATAAAGTGTAGATTAAATTTCAAACATATATTTATGTTAAATACTTCCAAAAGGCTGAACCCCAACCCTACGCAAATTATGCTGTGCAACCGAATGCACCTTGCAAGGTGCATACGGTTGCAAAACAGCGCCGTTTTAGTTAAAAAAACGCGCGTCCTACTTAAAAAAGAAATCAGGTTCGATTCCCGGCAATAGCATTTTTATATATCCAGAAATTCATAACTATATAACCACAATTTCATAACTATATATCCACAGTGAATGAATGAAGTAAAAATCCACAATGAATGAATGAATGAAGTAAAAATCCACAATGAATGAATGAATGAAGTAAAATCCACTATGAATGAACTAAATATCCACAATATATGATTGAACTAAATATCCACAATGAATGAACTAAATATCCATAAATTCATAACTATATAACCACAATTTCATAACTATATATCCACAATAATGCTATTGCTGAGAGTCGAACCTGATTTTTTTTTAAGTGGGACGCGCGTTTTTAATCAAAACGACGTCGTTTTGAACCGTATGCACCATGCGCATGTACATTCGGTTGCACAACATAACTATTGCCAACCCTAAGGGGCCCCCACACCGGCCCGTCAGAACATTTGGGAGGAAATCATGGTGTAGTTTATCTAATTATCTATGTAAATAATACGTTAAGTCTATGGTTAATATGTTCCGACCATATATTAACACTAATCCCATAGTGTAGTTTATCTAATTATATGCGATTCATCGATTATTAATACACAATAACAAATTTAAATATTATATATTTCGAAATAATAATGTTAAGTTTCCTTTGTAATAAAAAAATTATCTATATATAATTAATGAAATATCACTAACGTCCACTGGTGACAAGTTGGAGTTAATTTATTAGCAATGTAAATTAAATGGAATTTCACCGGCCGTCCACTGGTGACAAGTTGGAGTTAAATTAGCAATGTATATATAATATTCATAGTAAAATTTTGCATTTAATATTGTACTATTATGCTATATGACATGTTTTATAATAAATGCACCGAGTACATAACAAAAAACCATACATTATATTATCATACCTTCTTATATTAGCATATATATCATTAGTTCATTACTATCCACCGGCAACAAGCTAACTGCCAATCACGATAAATTCGTCAATTCACTGGTGCACAGGTGTTCAAAAATATCAGAGCTCATTTTGGTAATCCCTTGTTCTCAAAAAGTTGAATCTTCGATCCAATCCTAGGCTCGACAGATTATATGAGAGGATGTAAATCATGATAACTCAGCTGAACACAACAGAACATCTGGAGGATGTAAATCATGGTAACTCGAAGTCCGGTCACTTTGGGAGGTTGCTCTCAGAGTGCCGCTGGTGAGACTCGATACCGAATTATTGTTCCCAAACTTCACTCATGTAACCAATTGAGATGTCTATACAGGCGTCCATAGAAAAAACATACTTCTACATGTTATGTAATTCAAATTCTTTAAAAAAGTTGAGTTATATTTATATTAGCGTATAAAATAAATATTTTTCTAATATCAAAACAAATGCTACTTCAAAGTAATCCCAAACATTTCAATTTTTTCCAATTCAATTAGTACACTTTGAAAATTAATTTCACAATTACCTAGTATTCATTTTCAACATATAATATATCAAATTCATCATTTTTGACTAGGTAAATCCAAATCGACTTTGACTTAACCTGACCTGAAATTCAAGTGGAACTCACTCATATTAATATTTCAAAACGACCACTGAAAATGTCAATTTATACATGATACAGAATATTACTGCGAAGTGTATCCCGTGTGTATGTCTCGAGAGTGCAGTGTATATAAAGTGTATCAACAATAGAGTAGTAGAGAGAAGATTGAGCAAAATGGACTTCTTTTATTAAATGTTTAGAGAGAGAGTAGAGACTAGGAAGGAAGAGGAACCCCTAAAATGAAGGGCTAATGCCCTTTATATAGGCACAAGTACATATGAGTTTGACTTTAATCTGTTGATTTTGACCATGACCCCGACTCGACTACAAAACGAGAGCACGGACGTACATGGAGGTCAAAACTGAGATATATTCCCTATCAATAATACTAATTTTTTTTTTTACTATGAACATCCTTGGTGACAAGGATATGATGCTTAAAGTGAATATTTTAACAAGACCAAATATTATAATCATTAATCAGATCGAATGCAACATTACTATAACTATTAAAATACTATTGGAATGAATAATTAAGGCACTTAGCAGTCCCTCATGAGTCATGTTTCACTAAACTGTAATGAGTAACAATGAACTAATTAATCAAATAGTACAGACGTACAGTTTATGTCTTCTCCTAGCTAATAAAATTGAAACACACACATGCATGACATAAAATAACTTTTAAGCGTTGCATTTTGTTTGAAATATATATATATATATATATATATATATATATATATATATATATATATATATAATACGGACCAAATGCAGATATATAATGTGCTTAGGTGCAAACGTGGGGTGAGATGAGAGTCATTGATCTTGTTAAGATCAACGTCTAGAATTAACAAGGATTAAAAAACGCGTACGGTGATTAAAAAAAATGCGGTGGCAATTTGGTCTTTTTGCGTTTATGTCAAACTTAAGGTGCGTGATTTTCCTTCTTAAGGTGCATGGTTTATGTGTGTGTGCTTAAGGTGCGTCAGTTGTTAAAACTTAAGGTGCGTCAGTCTAAAGCTATAGGTTCGTGGTTTTCCTTTTTAAGGTGCGTAATTTTCCTTCTTAAGATGAGTGGTATTTGTGCTTAAGGTGCGTTAGTTGTTGAAACTTAAGGTGCGTTGGCCTAAAGTTTTAGGTGTGTGGCTTTCCTTCTTAAGGTGTGCCATTTTTTTTTTTTTTTTTTTTTTGCTGTCTTAAAATACAACCACTATCCTTTTGCAATCATGTTTCAGCAATCAGTTAATGGAAGTAAAAATGTATGTTTTAATTTATTGCTTATGAGTGGCCAGCTCTGGTGGTGTTAGATATATTAAATATAATATATTTAATATAATATATATTAAATATAATATATCTATAATATATATATAATATATATTTGAGAAGAGAGAGAGAGGGAGAATTGAATTCACTTGATTGATATTTGAAAAAGATTGATACACAGCCTTTTTATAGTAAAGGAGAAATAATAATAAAGCTAAAAATTAGGAATGTATGCTCCATGTACTCCACATACACTAAGCCACATACTGCATACACACCACCCACTACTTAATTTAATTAACAAACTAATTAACTCTTGGTTTAACAATTATAATAATAATATTATTATAACAGGTGGTGATGTCTTCTTAAAATCAATTTTGTAAAGATTTACCTTACCATCAATTAGTTCGTAAACATACACCACAACTCGTAGGCTTTTGATATCCATGAGAACAAAACTGAGGTTAACATCATAAGTAACACTGTTGTGAGCGCCAGTTACAAATTCTGAGTTTATAACAACGCTATTTTTTTCATTGATTTGAGCCGTTGATCTAGATTAGATCAACGACTTAAATCTAACCACATCTTTCACACCAAAAATTTGGACAAAATCATACCTGCAAGATAACATCAATAAAGATTATTGTGCCTAATCAAACCTTTGTGCCTAATTAAACCTTTCAGAAAACTTTTAAAAATAACTCATTATTATCATTGAAAAAAAAAAAAAAACTCGTCATTATCATTTAATCAATGACATAATTATATTCTTTATGAATATGTGTGATTTAACAAGTCCAATCCAACCCATAACCTCTGGAATAGTTTTAAGTGATAATAACAAGGGTCTCTCCTGCCAAGCATATTGTACTCAGATGGCATGTAGTGACTTTTCTCATGTGGAAGATCATGAGATCGAGTTTAAGTGGAGACGTTGTTGACTTGATAAGGTCATGAGATTGAGTTTAAGTGGAGGCGTTGTTGACTCACTGTTGGAAGGCCGTGACTCTGTGTGCAACATAATAGCCATTAGCATGTATATATATATATATATATATATATATATATATATATATATATATAAACAACATAATATAAGTATGAAAAAATCTAAAATGTGAATCCGTATAATACTATGAAAAATACTTTGTTTTCCAAAATATCTGATACAACACGACACAATATTTATCAACACCTTAGAACTTCCCATTAAATATATAATATATAAAATATACTATGTATTATAAGAATATTAATACTATATAAACACCCACTTTTTACTGCCTACTAATGTATAGCATGCATCCTCCGATTGACTTAGGAAAAGAAATCTAGCCCGCAGAAGGTAAGCTCACAAGTTTAATAAGCAGTATAAGTGAGTAAATTCCTTATGCATATTAACATTTGGCCTTGTCTGTTGAATCATTAACTTATTTTAATTTACATTTTCAAAAATACTCTGTCGAGCTAAGGTGTGGAAGGCATTGGAGTTGGGAATTCAACTATTGTTTTAGGGCAAGGAAAAGTAAATATCTAACACAATTTTTATTATATTTATTTTATTTTATTCTTCTCATAAAATTTAAACATTTGATAAGAGTTTTATATATTCTTCATTTATCCATTTGCCTAATAAAAGAATAGTTTAGCGTCAATTATAAGTCTTCACTATTCCCTCATTGATGTCCGACCTGGATCAGGACGTGAAAGACTATAGAGTCCACATGTGTATATAATACAAACCACTTGTTCGATACCCGGCCAGAACATACACTATATTTATGTATGATTAGTTAGTTATAATTTAGTTCATGTGGCCTGGGAAAACAAATTAAAGCAGCTTCAATTCAGTTGCTACCTTAGTCCCCAACTACCTGTTTTTCGCTAGTTTTTTTCAGTATCGTTAGATTATATTTTGATCTAATAGTTAAGTCATAGAGGCAGGCTGGGAATAATGGAGAATGAAGACGGAAAGGGTAACAACGTTAACGGGCTTGTCTCCGTTGAAAACCCGAAATCACAGAGCCGCCTTGGGCGGTTGTTTCAACGGCAATGCTACCCGCCGCACTTTCTCAACAAGGTTAGTTTGATCCATGCATGATCGTCTTGCATGCGACGGTGAAATCCTGTCGGAAAATCCTTAAAAGTTCTGTTGATGTTGGAGCTAGAATGAATGTTCTTTTCTCGATGTAATTGAGGTTTTTTTTTTGCAGGTGGTTGCGGAGGTCATAGCGACGTATTTGTTGGTGTTTGTGACGGCGGGATCGGCGGCCATTAGCGCCAGCGACGCGCACAGAGTGTCGCAGCTAGGAGCGTCCGTGGCCGGTGGCCTCATCGTGACGGTGATGATATATGCCGTCGGACACATCTCCGGCGCGCACATGAACCCCGCCGTCACCTTTGCCTTCGCCGCCTTCCGACATTTTCCATGGCGACAGGTCACTCTTTCCTCATCATCACCGCCTACTTCGTTCTATAATTCTTCTCTCCCTCAATTAAATTCCTCTCATTTTTTATATTTAATTTGTCATATATTCTCGTTGAATTCAAAGAAGTATTACTATGTGTTTTGTAATTAAGTAAAACATTAAAAGCCTTTGAACTTGTGGTCTAGTGACACGTAGTGACTCTTCCAAATGAGAAGTGATGAGTTTGATCTCTAGTGAAGGCGGTATTAACTTTTTTATGTTTTAGTAAGTTGGGAAAGTAGTTATGAGATAAACGACTAACAGTCACTACCGAAAATACTCCATTCTTATGCAATAGCTCACAAATTAATATGCAAGAGAGAGTATTGAATAAAGCGCAAATTATGCCAAGAGAGAATATTGAATAAAGTTATGAATTTGTTTAAAATGATTGTTGGATAAAGAAACTTTAGAAGCAATAGTAAAAAGATGAAAAAAAAAAATATATGTATATATAAAAGTGGAATCATTCCACTATTTAAGTGACATGAATTAAATACCACCCGAATATCCACCCCAACCCATGTTGTGTCATAGGCAGTGGTCGGGTAGGTGAGGCAAATGTTATAACTTATACAGATATGCACATGTCAATGGAATTGATTGACATATAACTTCCCTCGTTATTTGGTAAATGTACCATTTATTTTTCACTTTTTAGTTATCTACTTATCAAGAAAAATGAATAAATATTCCCGTTAATAAATAGTTATGTGTTGAGCATATGTACATTTAATGTTCAACTATCAAATTGTTGAAGGAGAACACATAGTTCAATAGATTATACGTTCGAACTTATCTCATACCAATGAAACATATATATCCTTCAATAGTGGAGGACATATTATATTGCAACTTTAGTGGCAGGCCATATATATTATATTGCAACTTTGTACAATAATGGAGACATTTTTTAATAGTGTGTTGAGAGGCATGGCATACTATCCATGAATTATTGTGTTTGTGGTGGTCATTAATGATAAGGGAGGGCATGGCCATTAATTATTATCTATAGTCATAAACTTTTGGTGATGAGTATTGAGTAGAGGTAGTTCATATGTATTTATCAAAATCCAGACACAATCAATAAATTCTAACAATGACCCCAGAACAGGGACATAACAACGTAACAGGTGTTTTTCGTGTTAATGGCCATGGCCGTAGTGTTTGTTACCATAAAGGAACACAATTTATTTTAATTCCCTATTTTCTATTTTCTGCATAATGTTCATTTTATGTACTTAATTGTGGTTTTAATTTGTTCAATAATGGTAGCTGAAAATGGCATATTAATTTATAGGTACCATTCTATGCGGCGGCACAGGTGACCGGAGCAACATCGGCGGCGTTCACTCTCCGTGTAATCTTAAACCCCATTAGACGTATCGGCACGACAACGCCGTCGGGGAACAACTATGTTCAAGCCCTAATCACGGAAATCGTTGTCACGTTTTCTATGATGTTTGTCACCTCCGCTGTCGCCACAGACACCAAAGCTGTAAGACATCTCTAAGCTTTTAGCTGAAACGAAACACATTATTTTTTTAACTGAATTTTTCAGGTCGTCACAGACACTAAACCTATAAGACATTTCTAAGCTTTTAGCTGAGACGAAACACATTTCTTTAACTGAATTTTCTCGATCATGTCATAGATCGGGAGCTGGCTGGCATTGCAGTGGGTTCGGCCGTGTGCATTACTTCAATCTTTGCTGGGTAATTACAGAACCCGAAATCCCGTAAACTTGACTAGATTAGTTTTATCTGAAACTCGTTATGAACAGGCCGATATCGGGGGATCGATGAACCCAGCAAGGACCATAGGGCCTGCAATAGCAAGCAACGATTATAAGGGCATATGGATCTACATTGTCGGACCTGTTTGCGGGACGCTGCTGGGGGCATGGTGCTATAGCTTTATCCGCCTCACAGACAAGCCCACCCACGCCGTCCAACCGCAACATTTGCCGTCTTTCCAGTTGCGGAGAATGAAGAACGACAACGTTGAACACACGGCGGCTGATGTTCGGGATCCCCTCAATGCTCTGTGATCTATGGTTTCTTGGTTATCTATATATGTAACCCAGGCCAGAAACCAAAGCTTCTTGGATGTAAATCTGATGACCATCCATTATGTGTTTAATTTGTACCTAATAAATATGAAATGTTCTGGTTGTACTATACAGTTATTATGTTTATATAAACGACTATGGGTGGATTATTTTTATTCTATCACATAGATACCAAGTTGAATGATGTGTTTTGTTTCTATTAATAATGTTAAATTAATAATTGAACTGAACATTTATAATTTATATATTACATTATGTACAAACCAAAAATAATCGGGATTTGTCCTTCTCATCCTATGCTAAAAGCTCTCAATTTAATGCACTTTCTCGAAGTGTTCTACTTTCTATTTGGTTTGTCAAGTGCATAATTTGTGTGTTTAAAATCGTTGTGAAGCTTCAACACCCTTAAATACTTTGAGAAAAACAAAAAATTAATAGGCAAGAATATTTTGAGCGAGAATTAATTGTGTCATATACTTTACCCCAATTGTTATATCGTGGAACAAAGTCCACAGTGCACTGTAGACCCTGGTCCAATATACATAATTTGACTTTATAATGTACAGAATTCATGTTCATAATGTACAAAATTTATATTCATAATACATATACACATAAATATCATAATGAACATGAATTCTGTGTATTATGAACATGAATTCTGTACATTATAAATATGAATTATATGTATTATGTTAAGTGTTTATGTGTCTTTATTATATCGTTTTATGTGTATTATAAATATAAATTCTGTAAATTATGAACATGAATTTCTATACATTATAAAATTAAATTATGTGTATTGGAGCAGGATCCACAGTATGCGCCATGCATGGCGCATACGAATGCAAAAACGACGTCGTTTTGCATCAAAACGCGCATCCTACTTAAAAAAAATCAATTTCGATTCCCAACAACAACATTATGTTATTCATTTTGTAATTCATTCATTCTGGATTTTTAGTTATAAAATTCTGGATGTATAGTTATGCAATTCTGGATGTATAGTTATGCAATTCTGGATGTGTAGTTATGAAGTTATGGATGTGTAGTTATGTAATTCTGGATTTATAGTTATGAAGTTATGAATGTGTAGTTATGAAGTTATGGATATGTAGTTATGCAATTCAGGATTTATAGTTATGAAGTTATAGATGTGTAGTTATGCAATTCTGGATTTATAGTTATGAAATTATAGATGTGATAAAATTATGGATGTGTAGTTATGCAATTTTGAATTATTATTTTTTAAGTTAGACGTCAAAACGACGTCGTTTTTACATATGGTGCATACGGATGCACATCATAACGATTGCAATATATATTGCGCTTTACCCCTATTTGGACTGGTCCAAAAACTATGGGACTGGATCGCCATCCTGTATTCCTGTTAATGAACCCAAAGCCCAAAGTAGGATTTAACAATCATTATGAGTTGGACCCGTGTCCAGCATGCGGGCTGTTATGCCATGGAACCGTGTTCACCATGGTTGGTGAACACGGTTCCATACGACACCGTTTAGAGTGAGTGGGACTAACGGTGCCCGTAAGTGGCACCGTTAACTCCACCACTCACATTTTTTTTTTTTTAAATTAAACGCACCATAGCATTTCCGCTTCTCCACTACGCCATTTCACTTCCTCTCCAAGCAACCTCCATCGCTCTGCTCTCTGGAACACCACTCTCGAGCTCTCTTCTATCGCTTCATCTTCCCCAGCCATTTCCTTCGATCACTCTCAAACACTCTGCTCCACAGCCATTCACCTCTGCTCTCGATTCCTCGTTCTCGCATTTGTAAAACAAAATTTGACGTTCTCACGTAGCTACCAAAGGATACAGCCTCTCCATTGCTCATTCTCAACGTTCCTTCACTTGTATTACAGGTATTTTCGTGTTTATGATTTAGGGTATTTGTATTCTGTGTACATATTTCGAAATTTTGAAATGGGTTTTGAATGTAATGTTATGAGCTTATGAATGTATATCTGTAGCATTATATACGTGTAGATTAACCATTATGAATTGATTCGTATATGCTTTTTACTGCTGTTTATTCACTTTCTATGCAAGCTTTGAATGTCCATAACGTCCATTCACTTATGTATTTTATGTCATGCAAATATGTATTTTATGTCATGCAAATATGTATTTTCTGTGTGAGATTATGAATTTTCTATTGTGCCTATGAAATTACATTTTTGCTGTTATGAACTTTCTTATATGTGGTTATGTATTTTCTGTTAGAGATTATGAATTTTCTCGTATGAGAGTATGAATTCTGTATTGTGAGTTGTCAATTTTATGTTCTGTAGTTATGAATTTTCTATGTTGCAGTTATGAACTTTCTGTTTTGGAGTTATGAATTTTCTGTCCTGAGGTTATGAATTTTCTTTGTGAGATATTATGAATTGTATGTTACTATACTATCAATTATATGTGACTGTTATTGATGGACAATATGGAATTATGGATTTTCTCATATGAGATTATGGATTCTGATCTATATTGCAGTTATGAACTTTCTGTTCTAAGGTTATGAATTTTCTGTTCTGGTATTATGAATTTTCTTTGTGAAATTATGAATTTTATGTTACTATATTACCAATTATGTGTAACTGTTATTGAAGGACATTATATTATTTTCGGTAGAGCATGGCTGGATTTATTCGGCACTCCCCATCCCCCCTCTACTGAAATAAGGAATATATTTTCCTTCCATCAATCTATATTATATGTTGTATATGAGTTACTTGCTTTCTAACGTTTTTAATAAAAGCAATGGACACTGCTCAACGAAGGACAACACGCTCACAAACAAAGGCAGTCTTGAGCTCTCAAGCTGCAGAACCATCACAACCCTCACAGACGGCGGCTGAACACAACACTGCAGTCACCCCTACAACAAAAAGCAAAGAAAACGAACAACACGGGCTGTACTTGACTCACAGGCTGCTCAACCATCCCAGCAGCACTCTGATGACCTGCTCGAGCAAGAAGTTATTAGAGAAAAGAGGTCAAAGCAAATAAATGACAGACATAGGGGCAACACAGACATTGGAGGTGATTGTGCAGAGGGGAGTTCTACTCCCTACTTCAGCACACGGATGGGACCAAAGACCATGTTTAGGCTTGTACAACAACTACTGCCAGAACAAAAACAAGCTGTCCGTGATATTGGATTTGGAGCCCTGTTGGACCTTCAATTGTGCGCAAATGAGTCACAATTAGTTCAGTATTTGATAGCCAACTTTGAGGTTTTCCAAACACATTTCAAGCTGGAGAACGACAAGCTCACAGTTGATGAAGAGGACGTTGAGTACACTCTTGGCATTCCAAGAGGAGAAAAGAAGGTTGTTGAGGCCCCAAAATATGATGAACAGGGGACACCAGAATACAGGGCTCTCTTGAAAAGCTGGAGGGAACGGTGGAATATTAAGCTTGGTTCCCCAGTCACTACCCAGATGGGAGATGTCATAGTTCAGAGGGAGATTCTGGAGATGACTTTAAGAGAGACTTCATGGTCTTGACTGTTTCATGCATGATGAGGGGATTTCAGAACCGCTACTGCAACAACAGAATCCTCAACTCCTTGATTAATGTTGACGAGATAAAGGAGTACAACTGGTGTGGCTACACCTACAACTCTCTGATCAAGTCCATTGAGCAGTACAGGAAGAAAAGTAATAGCTTCTTTACTGGACCAATGACATTCATATTGGTAAGCTCTAGCTCCACTTATGAATCTTATGATATTCAGATTGTAGATTATATGTGTTAGATTATGAATTTTCCTCTATGTGATTATGAATTTTTCTCTATGTGATTATGAACTTTCCTCTATGTCTCAGATTATGAATCTTCCTTTATCTGATTATGAATTTTCCTTTATGTGATTATGAGTTTTCCTATATGTGATTATGAATTTAGAGTATGTGCTTATGTATTTTATGCTATTCAGATTTTATGAGAATTATGTGTCAGATTATGAATTTTCCTTTGCCAGATTATGAACTTTCATTTACCAGTTTATGAACTTTCCTCTATGTGATTATGAATTTTCCTCTATGTCTCAGATTATGAATCTTCCTTTATCTGATTATGAATCTTCCTTTATGTGATTATGAATTTTCCTATATGTGATTATGAATTTTG